ATCTATCTATCTGTCTGTCTGTCTGTCTGTCTATCCATCCATCCATCCGTCCATCAGTCCATCCGACTATCCGTCTGTCCGTCCGTCCGTCCATACATCCATCCATCCATGTCTGGCTGTCTGTCTATTTATATCTATCTATTTATCTGGCTGTCCATCCATCTGTCTGTCCGTCTTTCTGTCCATCCATCTATACATCTGTCTTTCTAGAAAACATCAAAGTTTGTATTGGCGAAAATCCACTTACATGCAAATTACTCTTCACGTTTTGGTTGCTGATAGCCAGATAATGTTGGCAGGCTCCTGTGTTGCAGAAACAGCCTGTGCGAATATGAATATTGAAGAGACTGGCCATTTTGTCCACCTGTCAAAAACAAAAAAACAAATAGCAATAAGCACAGACATAAAGTAATGAACATTTTCTACTTCTTACATTTTAGACTGTCTTTATTATCTGAACATATTTTATATCTGCAATATTTGCTTATAAATATACTACTTTTTTACAGGTTATTAAAATGAATTTGAGGAGAAAATGTCAATTCCTGACTGACCTGAGAATACCCTACTGTTCGTCCATAACAGTCCAGCAGGTTAAAGTTGAGGATTGCACCCTGTTCGGCAATATTCTGAAAGTCATTATCACAGTGGATCTGTGCCACAGGTTTTCCATTGCTATGACGCAGACACGAGAGGACAATGTAGGTGTACCGAGCTAATCCAAATGTGTGAAGCTGAATGTTCAGCATACTGCCTGAAAACCAAAAACATCCACTTTTAATGCAAGTCATAACAATGTGAATCATAACCATGCTCAAGACGTAAACCAAAAATTTCTGAACCTGTAAGTTTTTGAAGTGTTTCAAAGCCATGATGGAGAGAAATTATGTCAAGGAAGGAGATTGTGCCATCCTCAAACCTGATAAAGTTGTGGAAAAAGCAATTATGCATTAAATATATTATGACAGGTAGCCTCAACTATGCTGCTTGCCAACAATTAAAGGACAAATTCTTCCTGTAACATCCCACCTGCTGACTACATTTGGCTTTGGTACAAAATAGTTCTCTGCCACAAGATATGCCGCAGCTGTCCCTCCTCCAAAGTAAGTTTTTCTCAAGACCTCAGCAGCCTCATTCCTCACTAGCAAGGCTCCGAGTCCAGTCGGGAAGCCGAACATTTTGTAGAAAGATATTGGCACAAAATCAGCGGGATATTGGCTTAGATCCAGAGGTGAGCAGCTTACAAAACAAGCAGCGTCAAGGAGAACAAACCATCGACCGCGGTGCTCGCATGCTGGATAGAGCTGCTGAGACTGAATTCCCTTCACATAGCTCAGAGGATACTTTCTGCCTGAGAAGTTGCTCTGGGCAGGATAACAGAAAAGATTAGGTGCAGAGCTCTCCTCTCCATTTGTCTGTGTCGGGGGTTTTCTCGCTCGTCTCTCCACTTCGTGAGGTAGAACAGAAACTGTGCCAACTCCCTGGAGTGCGGTCACACCACGAATGCCCACCACAGAGGTGTGGTTGTCAGTGAGATAGCAGAACTGACTTCCTGGCCCCTCATTTGATGCGGCCTTCCAGGGGAAAGTGTCAGCCACTAATTTCAGTGCTGCAGTACATCCTGATGTGAAAATCACTGAGTACTCTTCAGGACATGTATTAAAGTGTCCCAGTATCCTGCAGGGGTTCAAAACAAAGAGCTATCTTATCTTGTCTTATCTTGTCTTATCTTCAACTATATATATCATAACATACCCGTATCTTATCATCAGATCTTGAAGAAAATCGTATTATACTACTTATAATACTGCTTAAAATATTACTAATTCTCAATTCTCAATTCAAGGATTCTCTGTAAGTGTTTCAAATCTTTTTGTTCCCTCTGTTTATGTTTTGTTTCTCTCTTGCAATGTTATTTTAGTATTATTTATGTACCATTACACGATTTATTCATATTTTAAATTAGCTTTTATTTTTATATTTTCAGTTTTCATTTAAATTTGTTTACATTTTTAGCAGTTTTGCTTGTCATTTTTGTTTTTATTAGTTTTTTTGTTTTTTTATATTTTTATTTTGCTTTCATTTATTTATTTTTATTTTTGTTTTAATTTGAACAATTTCTTAATTTTAGTAGGCTACTTTAGTTAGTTCTAACTTAATTAATTTAGAATTTTTGTTAAAATTTTTAAAGTTTAATTGTTCATCAAATGTTTTTTCATTTTAATGACCAAAAACTATTTTATTAGGTTTAATTTGTGTGTGTGTGAGCGTGTTTCCTATTTCTATTATAACTGTATATAACTACTGTATATAATTGTAATAAATATTTCTATGCTATGACTCATTGAAAATTCAGATGGTGTGTGTGTGTGTGTGTATGTGTATATATATATATATATATATATATATATATACCGTGTGTGCCTTTCCTATTTCTATTATAATTGTATACTATATAATTGTAATAAATATTTCTATGCTATGACTCACTGAAAATTCAGATAATGCAAAAGTGCTTACCTGTATCTGACACTTTCCACAGTGTCATGTGTTAGTCTGCTGCTGGGATTATGACTGTGAGGATTGCCTGACAAAGAAAAGTATGTTATGATCTAAAGCCATTTATGATATTCATATTATTAAGTTGTGCATTCAACAATGCATATGAAGGAGCTCACCATAAACATTCCTAGACATATCATCACAAAATCCTTTAATCTGAGATTCAGGAAATAGCGTTGTCCCTGCATGATCAAGGTATGTAACACCTTAAAAAGAGAACGAGGCACCTATTAGCGTCTACTACTCAGCCTCTGTATGTAATTCACATTGAGATCAACAGAGGGCGCTGCATTCATTCTAACCAAATGACAATAACTAAAGCGAAAGTAAACATTGCCGTCTTGCTGTTTTTTGTCTAATACAAAATTGGTTATTTATTAAACAAACAAATATTCGCATGTTGTTAAAGCATGAGAGTAAGTAGCAGATTTGGACACGTTACTGAACGTGAAGGAGGCTATTTTACCTTTAATCCGTTTAAATTCCCGATCGATCAGATCTTGTTGATCAACGCCGTAACCATAATAGTGCCAGAAACCCTTAAAACTCTCAAAAGTGCTTAAGTCCTGAAACTCCAGTGAAGACTGTGTCTCCATATCTGTAGAGACAGACAGACAAACAGACACAAGAGCTCCCTCTTTCGCGAATTTATGTAACGCTTACCATGCCCAACTGACAGAACCGAGACCAAAGTCCAACAGCAGCCAGTGTGACTGTTGATCTGTCTGCAGGACAAATATAGTAGAGTTTCATTACAACCTCGAGACGTTTCTGAAGCATGACTGGTGGACTCACATGAGAAGAGAGAAGTTAGCAACCTTAACAAAAGTATAAATACTGTAACTGATCACCTATCATTATATTGAAGTGGATTCATTCTTTTACTTCTTTGACAGTTCATCAAAGAATCCTGAAAAAAAAAATGCAGCACAGCTGTTTTCAACATTGGAAATAAAAAGAAAGGTTTCTTGAGCAGCAAATCAGCATGTAAGAATTAGATTTCTGAAGGATCCCGTGACACTGAGGACTGGAGTAATGAGGCTGCAAATTCAGCTTTGCATCACAGGAATAAATGACATTTTGTAATAGATTAAAAAAGAAAACAGTCGAAAACTCGCTTGGTATTAACAACCACACACATGAAATTCGTTTTTAAAAAATACCACAGTATTACCAGTGTCACCATGATCAATCTTACTAACTTTTGTAACATATCTTTGTGTGGTTTCTTAAGGTTAACCTCACACCGCTATGACTGGTTTGTACAAAAATAAAATTCAGGTCACAATAGTTTTGATAATGTAGCCTCTCAGAACGAGACCTGCGGGACGTTATATTGGAGAGTGTCTGCAACTAAGAACAGATACTGAGAAAAATATATTACTAAGACACAAGGGCATATCACAGGGGGTTTTATAGTATGAAAATAGATAAACAGTCACACTCAATTCACTTTATGTTGTATTAAAACAACAGTTCTATTAGCAATTTTTGGGACTTATATACATATGGATGGATAGATAAGAGTGCAAAACTATTGTAGAAAAAGTAATAATCACTGTGATTGTCAATGTTAGGTTTTAGAATTTTAGTATTTTTATTAATATTTTGAAGTAGCTTTTTTTTGTACATTTTAGTCGTTTTTGCTTTTTGTGTGCTTTTATTTTATTTTTAATAAATTAATTTTTAGTCTAGTAGTACTAATTTTAATATTTTAGTACTTAAACTTTTAGTTGCCAGGGCGACATTTCTCATTTTTGTTTCGTTTTTCATCTAGTATTTATATTTTCATTTATTTCAGTTTTATTTCAATTATCACAAAAAAAAACCTTTGTGATATATATAGTTAACAATAATAACCCTACTGTTTATCATGTAACGGTCATACTTGATTTTACACTATTTGTCAACACATATGCAGGGAGGGAAGGGAGATCCACAGAGACATTGTTCATTTCCATCCCAGACAGCAGGCAGTGATTAAATATGCCACTTCTGCTCCACTAATTCATTCACTTTGAAATGCTGCTGCCGAGCAGAGCGCATCTTTTTCTGTTAAAGGGCCACATTGTTTTCACAGGACTTTGGCCTCATTAGCAGTGAGGGGGAGGGGAAACCGGCCAAAGAGACATTGTGTCTTTCTGTCCATAATGATGTGACACAGTCAATTTGGAGATGCTTATGTTGATTGGGGGTGCTGGCAAAACATTTGGCATTTTCGTCTTCTTATGTGTCCTTCAAAATGTCGTTATCCATGCATATGCCTTATCTAGGTCTTCCCTGCCAAAGTAGACAATGTACTCCAAGATTCAAGTCTCACAGTTAGACAATTTTGTCTTATTTTTCCGTGAATATTTTGCCAGACGAGGTCAGCTGTCCATCTGGCAGCTTCACCAAAGTATGGAAAACCTGTTGCCTTCTGTTCTTCTTGGGATTCCCTAATGCATCCGTTCCCAGGATGAAGGTGCTGCAGCATCAACTACGTGAGTGTTAAGAACTGAGAGAGCCTCCGGGCTCACGTAGCCTGGGCTAAAGGCTTATCAGAGGCTAAGCCAGAGGGGGGAAAAAACAGTAAAGCTAGTCTCAGTCGACCAGAGGTACGGGCACAAGGCCATCTGTCCATTCTCTGAATACAACTGACAACACAGGAGGGCAACTCCGCACTCAGGGAATCATACACACTCTGAAGCCTCAAACGTTAACTCATCCTGGATTGACAAGGCAAGAAGAGTTGGTGAAGAAAGTAAGTGGCATCTTCATGCTGTCTAGAGCTCCATCACTTCTCAGGTCAGTTTGCTAACTTCAACCCAAAGCTGCTCGTCACGCTCAGGGACTTCCAAAGGACAGGAACAAATAGGCGTATTAATGCTTTTCTGGCAGCAACAGTGCTTTTGTTTCATCTTTGACAAAAGGAAAACTGTTGTTTACACTGTTGTGACTGTATATACACTATATGACACTGTATAATCTTGTTTATACGTTTACATATAATTATAATAATGCAGTATAACACTATATATCTAAACAAATATAATTTATTAATTATGTTAATGTTAATAAACGTAAATGCATATATATCTAATATAATAACAAATCTAATTTATAAATTATGTTGATTTTAATATATGTATATATATATATATATATAAAAAAGTCATATTCTAGTTCTGACACTACATAGACTAATACTTGTTTAAGTTGTTTATATGTTTTCATGTAATTATGATAATGCAATATAACTAAATCTAAACAAATCAAATTTATAAAGGTATATGTTGGCTATTTATATACATATCTATCTATCTATCTATCTATCTATCTATCTATCAAACAAGTATAAATTATGATGAGCTTAATACAAATAAATGTCATGTTTCAAAAATATTGCTCCAGGTTTGGGCAGTAATATTACATGTTATTATTGAATGGCCCTATTCAAAGATAGAGATTCAGTAATATATACCGAAAAGTTTAGTTTGATTAGTTAATTGCTGTGTATTGAAATCACAATATTGTACAGTGTAAAACAACAACAAAGGCTTGGCCATTAGGATTACGTATTTAAAACAGACTGATCTTTTCTGAAGTCTAATGTGACCCACCATTTCCTTCGCGCGTCAACATTTCAATGGCAGCGGCATAAATCATTTAAATTCCTGATTCATAAACACATTTGACATTTGAAAAACAGCGTGTGTGATATCTATATTCGGGCTTATTAGTGCTATGCTATATGATGGCAGAATGTTTTCAGATGCCTGTTGACAAGCTTTGGAAGGACAGAAATGGGTCAAATGGGTTTTAGCATTAGCCAAACAAATCCAGGCCTATAGGATTAGACAGGATGGCAGCAGAGTGTTTGATGTATTTACCTGATGAAACAGCACAGAACTAATAGCCACACAAAAGAACAGGCTTTATACACTGTTTGTTATTGAACTCAGCCATCGTATCTCATATTAAGAATGCTGAATCTATAACTCATTTCGTAGCTTCCACATTAGGAGTCTTGTTCATTATTAAAATTGAATTCTCTGTCTTTAACAAATGACCCTTTTACTGGCTCCGATATTAAACAGAAGCAAAAAAACGAATTATAAATATATAACATTTGTTTCTCTTTTAGTCTATTCAGCGGTTCCCGTCTCTTTAGCAAGTTCCTCTGCTGCTGGAGGGTCATGGAAAAAGGGACCACATTTCATTTAACAGCTTATGTAAGTCTGAAAACATTTCAAAAGCAGTAGTTTTCAAAGAGGCCTAACAAATGAAAGCATTGGGACTCAATTAGAATAGATGTGCTCATGTTCTCGCTTAAATAAAGAAAATGCACTCATTTATTGCTCCTAGCTGCAGGGCCTCATTAGAGGAATATGAAAGGCATTATTAAAGGGAAATTTAAGACAATCTCCTTACACTTCCTCTGGTCTAACGCTGCCTCATTTTTTAGTTTCGCCCATGAATGTGCTCTGTGATCTCATCTGGCTTAGAATCGATTCAGATGGCGATAAGCTCGGTTTTAAAGTGCTCGTCATTGCGGAGATGTGAGGAATGTGGGAACAGACGACTCTCTGATAAATTAATGGGCCTTGTTAGACATGGTCACACAAACGTCACTTGATCCAAAGGCCTAGAAAGACACAAGTGGCTCTTTTTGAGTCTTATCAAACACGGTCACACCATTTAAAGCAGAGCCATTAGAGAGGTTAGAGACAGGACCCCGCTCACCCGCCCGCAGGGAAATAACGCCCAACTTAATGTCAGAGCATAGCAACAGGTACCCACAGCTAAACAAAATGAACGCATGACCGAATAGACATTTACGGCTGAGAAAGGTAATAGCAAGGAATTACGAGTTGTCAAGACTGAAATGTTTGCTTACTGAAATTCATCTCATATCTCTTCTGACTGAACTGGCAAATTTGTCTGTTTGCGTGCACAGAGACAGTCTGTTTGAAGCATCTAGACCCAAGAGAAGAATGAATATGAATGAGAAGGAGGGAGGAGTATGTGAGGGGGGGCTAAATGTCACTCTCACCATCCGCCTACTAATGCATGGCAAGGTAAGACACATCTCAGATCCTCACAGAGCTGTGCTTGTTTTGTTTTCGGCCCTGTTTTGCAAGCGCAGCCAGTTGCAGATTTATGAGTGTATAGGTGATCATTTTAGATTCTAGATTGTCAATTTAATTGATTATAAAATGTTTTCTTTTAGATAACATAATCAGAAGTAGTATTGACAGCATACAGTGATGCTATTTCTTCATCATCTTTTCTTATGACAAGGTACCTGTAGTAGTCTGGGTCTGAAAGGGTGGGTGTGATATGATGAAATGAGGCTGCATTTATGCAATTGAAAATACAGTAAAAACTGTAATATTGTGAAATATTATTACCATTTAAAAGTCAAGTCAAGTCAAGTCACCTTTATTTATATAGCGCTTTTAACAATACAGATTGTGTCAAAGCAACTGAACAGCATTAATTAGGAAAATAGTGTGTCAATAATGCAAAATGACAATAGTAAACACTCATTTTTCAGTTAAAGACAGTTCATCATTGAATTCAGTGATGTCAACATCCAGCTCAGTTTAAATAATATCTTTGCAATCATGTTTTGGTAAACAGTTCTTTGCAAAAGAACTGTTTTCTGTTTGAATATATTTTAAAATGTAATTTACTCCTGTGATGAAAAAGCTGAATTTTCAGCATCATTACTCCAGTCTTCAGTGTCACATGATCCTTCGGAAATCATTCTAAATGATGATTTGCTGCTTAACAAACACATTCCTTATTATTATCAATGTTGAAAACAGTTGTGCTGCTTAATATTTTTGGAAACTATGACACAATTAGTGCTGTCAAACGATTAATCGCGATTAATCACATCCAAAATAAAAGTTTTTGTTAACATAATATATGTGTGTGTATCTGTGTATATTTATTATGTATATATAAATACACACACACACACACACACACACACACACACACACACACACACACACACACACACAGTATATATTTTGAAAATATTTGCATGCATTTATATGCATATATTTAAATGCATATAATTTACATTATATAAAATATATTTAATATATAAACATAACATATTTCTTAAATATATACATGTGTGTGTATTTATATATATATAATAAATATGCACAGTACACTTTTATTTTGGATACGATTAATCGTGAGACAGCACTAGACACAATACCATTCAAAATTCTGGGGTCAAAAAAGGACACATTAAGTTGATCAAATGTGACAATGGAGACATTTATAATGTTACAAAAGATTTCTATTTAAAATGTTCTTTTGAACTTTCTATTCATCAAATAATCCTGAAGAAATGTATTAAATTCCTGTTCTCAACATTGATCATAATGAGAAATGTAGAGTTAACAGCTACACTCAATACTGTTTCTGATTGTCATCTAAAAGAAAGCACTGATAATCTCCAGTTTACCATGCAATCATTTAAGATGAACTGAGATTTTGTCTGGTTTGTGTGTTTCTAGGAAGTTGGAAGTATCATTGGGAAGGTAAACAATTCAGTATTATCCTAATAATTGCATTATTGAATTAAGCATAACTTTGAGTCTTTATTCTTTGGTGTTCCTAAGCACTTCTTACTGTGTTTAAATATGGCTTACAAACTAATTGTAATATACACATTCTGATATAATTATGATTTTTCTCTTGCTTTGTTTTAGAAAGGAGAGACTGTCAAAAAAATGAGAGAGGAAGTAAGTGCTACATTGATCTTGATCAAATAGGACTAATCATTGCATATATAGTCATTTTAATTTATTTATAAATATCAAAACATCATTTTATATTTCACATAGTAAGGTTTTTAACACACTTTTTTCTTATTAACACATTATTAATGCTGACTAGCTGTGTAAAGATTTAAAGAACTCATCTGGGTGGCCACATGTCATGTACTGTATATCAAAAATTAGACCGCAGAAAACCGTCTGGAATCATTTTCAGTTTGAGAGGCAAAATCATCTTATTATCTTCACGATCAGTTCAATGGTATTTCACTGCCAGAGGGTGCAAATGTCAGCCTAAAGGCAAGACTGATCAATTAAACGTAATGCAGCACAAAAACTCTGCTTTTCTCTGTGGATTCAGAGTGGAGCCCGGATTAATATATCTGACGGTTCCAGTCCAGAGCGCATTGTCACCATTACCGGACAGTCTGAGGTCATCTTCAAAGCCTTCGCCATGATTGCAGAGAAATTTGAGGAGGTGGGTAGTACACTGTAAAAATATTAATGTGGATTTACACTAGGGATTTACTATTTGCCATACTTTCACATTATACAGCAGTAGTTGTGCAATTTATTACAGTTACATTATTACTGAATTCAGTGAAATCACAGTGAATAGGAGCAGGAAAAGGCTGATCACAGTTCAGTCACAATTGTCTGTGTCTGCATTACAGTGATCTTTTATATTTAGACATTAACTGTAATAGTGTGGCATCCACAGTAATATGCCTGCATTGCATGCATAAATTATGATGGGCTGTCAGTTTAACTCGTTAATTTAATTAATTAGTTATGAAAAAATAACTCAATTAAAATATTTTAACGCACTGGCCCCACCCCCAGATCTGTACGTCATCGTAAATTTCATACAGTTGACTGTTGACAAATATGATCACCATTACCGGACAGTCTGAGGTCATCTTCAAAGCCTTCGCCATGATTGCAGAGAAATTTGAGGAGGTGGGTAGTACACTGTAAAAATATTAATGTGGATTTACACTAGGGATTTACTATTTGCCATACTTTCACATTATACAGCAGTAGTTGTGCAATTTATTACAGTTACATTATTACTGAATTCAGTGAAATCACAGTGAATAGGAGCAGGAAAAGGCTGATCACAGTTCAGTCACAATTGTCTGTGTCTGCATTACAGTGATCTTTTATATTTAGACATTAACTGTAATAGTGTGGCATCCACAGTAATATGCCTGCATTGCATGCATAAATTATGTGGTTGCATTTTTTTTTTTTACTGTTTGATGGTTTATTATTATAGCTACTTGTTCATATTAATTATGTTTATTTTTAAGACTATATTTGATAATTATCAGTGTTAATGGGTTTTATATGCCAGAGAGATCATACTAAATTTTGTAATATGTGTAATGGACAACAACCACTTACCTCACCACAATATTGCTAATCCCTCCTCCCTTAATTGTTCATTAAATTAATATATTTCTATAACTTACAATGTTAATATGTACAGCGAAGTTTGAGTAATGAGTCAATCACTTGCTTTATTTTATTCATGTTGCACAGTGAAACCAATTGTGTTCTGTAACACCACTATGGCTTTTAATTAAATTAATTAAAAGCAAATTAGGTCCCAGTCAAAGGAAACGCTGATGGTGACTTAACTATTGAAATTTTAATTTTTTTTTATTAAATTTATTTTTTATTATTTTGGGTGATGATATATATATATATATATATATATATATATATATATATATATATATATATATATATATATATATATGTGCTGT